GGGCCCATTGGTCCTGCATTCCCTTTAGTGCCATTGAAGCCCCTAGGTCCCATGGGCCCTGGTGACCCTTGAGAACCTCGAGGTCCAATTGGTCCTTTGGGGCCTGGGGGGCCTGGTGGCCCTGTACACTGGCTGCATCTTGATCCCTGTGAAACATAATAATATTCTTTAATATTCTTTGTAACTAGGTCACCAAACAATTCTCAAAATATTCCCTGGAATTGTTTTTGTTTAAAGGTCAATTTGGAATTATTGTTATTTATTTATTTATTTGTTTGTTTATTTATTTATGTATTGATTTATTTATTTATGTATGTATGTATATATTTATTTATTTATGTATTTTTTTTGTATTTATTTATTTATTTATTTATTTTGGACATCTCCTCTGAATAGGTATTTAAGTTGCCTCGGGGACTCTACTTTCCTTAAGTCGCAAGGAAGACTGTTCCAAAGAATGGCGCCACTATAGCTAAAGCTATTTTTATAATAGTCTGTGCGCGGCAATGGAACACTTAGTTTAGTCTCAGAGTCCCGTAGATTATATGCGATTTATCGCCTTTCGAATTTAGAACTTAGAGATTCTGAAGCCAACCTGTGCAGGGACTTCTAAACCATCGTAGCTCTTTGAATTTGCTGCTGGCATGCTAGATTTTTCCTCCCGAGAAGTTTGAACAGCTGGTGATCAGCATCTACGTCATAGTTTGAGTGGATCTAAACACGGGCTGTTCAATTTTGTAGCTTTTGGAACTTATTTCGTAAAGTTATCCCACAGTTTCTTCAAACATTGTTGCAATAGTCAAAGTGTGGCTGTATCAGAGCTTGATATATTAGATGTAAGGTCGCTTGAAGGACAAGGTGGCTTATTCGTTTTATGGCCCCAATGTCAGAAGCGACTTTCTTCGTTACTTTTTCGATATGGCCACTCCAATCAAGTTTGTCATCGATGGTCACTCCAGGTGATTTTGCGGTAGTGACCTGGCTAACTTGAAAGTGATTAATTCCAAGTTTCGGGGATTCTGTGAGATTACTTAGCCTTTGCCTAGATTTAGGAGGCCTGAATTCGGTTTTAGTCATATTTAGAGTGAGTTTGTTTGCTGTCAGCCAATTGTGAACATTTTCTAAATCTTTATTTCGATGCAACTGAGTATTGTCTGCATGGTCATTTTCTAAATTTTACGTTTAAGAAATGGATGGACTTAAGAAGGAAGTGACTGGCTTCCAAAGAAATTTTCGTGTTTCGTCGTCTGACAAATGAAACACTAGTCTAGTCTTGGTCAACGAACTGTTATATTTTGAAGTTTTTCACGCCCGCAGAGTTTCCTTTTATAAATACAAAACGAGCTCTAAATCAAGCTACATTGTTGGACGGTAGAAACTCAGTTCAAAGTACGTCGTTCTTGTGTTTTCATTGGTACTTGACCAACCAATATGGCAGTAACAAAAATACCAAAGAAGTTTGACTTGAACACAGTATCAAAGGAAATATCAAGTCATTTGCCTTTTTTCCTGCGGAAACACTCCAGAAAACTTTTTACAACCGCAATAGCTCCTTAACACTTATTATGGAGATGTGCTTTAAAAGAAAATTTCCTTCATCTGTGTCGTTAAGTTTGCGATCACTGCCTTTTGCATCTTCAGTTTGGTTCTTAGTTCTTTAACGTGGGAGTCAGTGAGGTTCAGTGCTCTTTCCAGCTCGGTAATCTTCAATTTCAACTCTAGGAATGACACATTTTCTCCACATCTAGTCGACTCACTCCCTACGATTTAAAAAGAAAGTATTGTTATAATAACGTGCTTACTTGTGGGGGAGGAGCCTCGTCACGGTTTCCGCATCTGTAAAGGTAAGCCTAAACTTTTCAAGTTCGTCGTTTGTAATCCGTGTTAATCTTCTCCATTCTTAACCATCCTTTTTACTTTATGGTTTATCATTATCTTTTTGTTGTTTTTTCTCTATTAGAAACTACTATTTTCAGGTTTCCTTTAATACAAAGGTAATTTTGTACATGATCAAAAAGACTCAAAATACCTTGACTGAACTTGAACTCGTTTAACGGGGTTTGATAAGAATCGTTTATCGAGATCATTTCCGTGTAAGATAAACGACCATACCTTGTGAGGAACTGGCTAGGTTCGAGCTCAGGGTCGTTCCAGGCGTCGCTTTTACATCTAGAACTAGGCTGGCTCCGGCTGTTAGGAAGACAACCAAAAGCAACACAGCCATTAGGCACATCAAGCGGCGTAATACATCTATTTGTTGTTGCACTTCCAGTGAATCGTGTACGACTTCTGGTACTGGACAAGCTCCGTCTGGGTTCTCCTCTCCGTTTGGCAAATCCTTGTTGTGATTCGCAATTATCTTGCCAACTCCTTTGTCGTAATCCATTTCTTCTGGGCGAAACTCTGCAGTTTTCTCTGCGTCTTTTGTTTTACCGTTGGCATTTCCAGGACATTGCATTTCTAGACTTGCGCCATCTAGTGAAGTCATCTCATATTGTTGATTTTCGCGAGCTTTTGGTGATCGCTGCATACTTGATCGACAATTTTCGTTATAAGTTGCTCTAGTCTCGAGTGAGAAATTCACCTGCGATTAATGAAGCAACAACCCAAATGACAAATTGTGCAAGCCTCTTTTTTTTCTTCACTTCCCTAGAACATGTACCAGCATATCTGCTTATGTGGCGCCAAAACAAACATACTCCTGCATACTTGATCGACAGTTTTCGTTATAATTATAAGTTGCTCTAGTCTCGAGTTATAAATTTACCTGCGATTAATGAAGCAACAACCCAAATGACAAATTGTGCAAACCTCTTTTTTTTTTTTTACTTCATTTCCCTAGAACATGTAATAGCATATCTGCTTATGTGGCGCGAACAGTAATCCAGAGAGATGAATTAATTGTACGGGTATTAGAAAGGGTTATCCTGCTCGTTTGTTTTTTTCTTCAGTGAGTGGTATGAAGGGTCATTTAATCTGGCAAAACAGAATTCCTTCACATATAAACAGCCAACAAGGCGGGAATGAATAATTGAGTATTTTCAGGTCAAGGATTATCACTTGGGGACAGGTTTGGCCCCAAGAATCACTACGTGCGCTGTTCTGATGCAATGCTCAATCGTGCCAAGACATGTTAATAATCCAAACTTTGCTGTCAAGTGAGGTGGACAGAGGCACTACGAGAGTAAAATGATAATGCCGACACTAGAACGCTGGCGATGTATGGTAACCTAGACCTCAGTATAAATAGTCCGCTGTTCAGCCCACATCTCGCAAAACAGAAGAATCTATTTACGCTCTTTTGCTGAGCGCTTCAGTTTCTCATTGAGCGACAAAAATGCTAACTCGTAATATTGAAAGGTC